TGTACAAATTAAGCATGAAATCTATGAATTGGGTATCTTCCCAAAAAAGAAGCTACTAAATATTAATTTTAGAGTAAAAGGCAGAGCACAAACAGGTGCTCAAAGCTGGCAATTAGAAGTCCCACACACCTTTCTTGCTTGTTCATGTTTCTTTTAAACATCAGGATTGTCTTTCACCATAAAACTGCTAATCCAAAATGATATTGTAGATTAAAATGCTTTGGTGTTAATTGTAGCAATATCAATCCAACCAATGAGTCCTCATACCTGTTCTTGTCTTTTGATTGTTAACACAGTTGAAACATTTATCGTGGGCTGGTTCACAGAAATAGGACTATCACCATTTATTGGATAATATAACTATGCTAAAAGTTCTATTATATGTAGATTTATTCCCTCCAGATATTATCTAATTTACCTTTTCATACCCCTAAGCATAGACAGCATGTATTTATACAATCAAACAAGTGAAATATAAAATATATAAAAGTTTAAATACTATCCTAGGATCGGGAGTCTCACTCAAGTCTGAACAGTGTGCTCAGAACACTGTTGTTCTCAGAACTCAACAGTGTGAACAGTCCTAACAGCGTGCTCAGAACAGTGCCTGATATGTATTTCAAGAAGTTGGTGAGTGTTACCCTACTTTGAAGGCATTCAGAATTATACATTTTGCAGACACCCAGTATTATGGAATCAAAACCCAAGTTTTTGTATCAGCAGAGTTCTAAAGCCACTCTTTCGTTACTAAGGAGAATCATCTATAACAGAAGAGCCTCACTGATGAAGACATTAAACATATTTATTTGACTGCTAGTACTTGCATTTCCCTCCAGGCTGGACTTCTTTGCATGACTAAAATTAAATCTATGTACTGATGGAGGAAAGGCCTGTGAGATTTTTTGTTCTCTTAATAGCTGAAAATAAGCTCATTTTTCAGTGAGTATCTATGGAAATGATACAGGGAGAAACATGGGGTGTGGCAGAGTCAGTGTTGGTAACCTGAATACGGGCTTAAGTTTGGAAGGTCCTGCAGCAAAGTCTGTGCACATGTTGCAGTTCCTAAAAAAAAACAGGCTTCACCTTTGTCAAATTTCTTTTAGAGTTCTCTGGCAATGCGAGGTTAATAGATCCTTGGTAACCATTAAACATCTAAATTTCGATGCAGTTCCACAAAAGACATTGATCCAACTCACATCACACTGAGTAAAGAGAAACTTCTCAAGCCCTGAAGAAGTCCACCATAAATCCTAATGCCTTGGGTAATACCACTCTACTGGCTTATAAATTGGGAAAACTATCTTCAAGGATCAACTTTCCTAGCATCCTCCTGGGCAGCCATAAGTAATTTAAGAGGAAAGGGAAAAGTCAGTGAACTCAGATAGAAAAGACTATTTTTTTTCTGAAGCAGTCTAAATAATGGTTAGCACCTAATCCGGTAAGTGGATATGGCCCTGGAAGTTCTGCAAGGGCTGCCTTTTCTATGCTCCTGGCATGGAAACTACATCCTAAATTCTGATGGAAATGAATGCTCAGAGCAAAAGACTGAGTTGATCGTTCTAACAGTCTTTACCTTGACTTATCACCCTGCACAAGGCTGGGATTTCATAACACATCTATCTCCAACCTTCCAGGAAAGGGATCTTTTCCTACAATTTCTACTTTTGCACAGGCATAGAAAATTGATCAGATACTTCCATAATAATTGTCTTGTCACAATCATTATTTTGCCTTCTCCATTCCAGCTTATCAATAGCCTATACATTCTAAAAATGTGTGCTTATTTGAAATCAAATGAAGTATAGGCTTCATTTCAGATGCTTATAAGCAAATACAAGTGACAAACTGGGCATAAGTTCAAGTGATTGCTCATCCTCTCTTGGGAATACACTCAATAGATTTGCAAACTTTAGCATAGCTAACAATTGTAGAGTGTAAAGTTTGATTCATTAGCATAATAGACTGCTATTGATCTTCTGGCTGTAATACTGCTATCTTTGTTTCTTTTAAAATATATCTGGTATTAGTATAAGTGAAAATACATCAAAGAAAATTAAGATGATACATTGGAAAATATGTAAACAAATGCAAATTATGACTCTTAAAATGAGCCCTTAAAAGCGTGCATTTAAAATCATGAAATATCCTTTTTTATAGTAAGTAGTATTTTGATATCCAGAAAAAAGAAAAGCCCTTCTTTGCTACTCACCATGGACCAAAAGTCATTTATATTTACCTTATTTAAGTTTTACAAGAAGACTCTGAAGTAGATATTGACAGCAACCACATGAGGATAGGGGGGTGAAGGAGACAGTGCCCCCATGATTTCATAGTGACCAGGGCTATTTCCCAGGAGATCTGGCTCTATAGCCCTTTTTCCTTTAGTACACAAGGAAGGAAACCAGTAATAGTTAATCCCTGGCCAGCATTCTATACTCACATTCTCTCTAAGTTTCTCTTCTCCCAAATGAGATCCTTGTGGCCTGTTTCACAAGGAACCAGCATGAAACTTGTAAAGAAACTTACACACATTGGCAGCAGAGATACACTAAGACGGGAAATTTGAAAGCCTCTGAACACACATCAAAACAAACAGTTACATCTGACCCTGCATTCAAAATCTTCCACCACAGGGAAGTTGAGATCCTTAAATAAATGCAAATGTAAAAAAAATAACTAATCTTCTCAACCCCTCTCCAACCTAAGGATAGTAGCTACCATAGAAAGCCATTAGTACAGAACTATGATTATTGTGGGAGCAGTGTATACCCCAAGAATGAACCCTTCTGGATAGTTAGATGAGGAGGAGGAAAAAAGCACAAGACTTCATGGTCCAGGTTAATGGCAAGGATCATCAAAGCAGAGTGAGGACAAGCCAAGTCCTGCACCCTGTAATACACCAGTGTTTATGTCCTTTTAACATCAGACACCTATGTGCCACAGTAAGATGGGGACAGGCACCATCAGTGGCTAATCATTCATTTCATTTCCTTGACACTTCTAAGTAGCAATCACCAAATGGTTTATCTCTGTGCATCAGTGACGCTACAAAAAATAAACAGTAAACTGTCAGATATTGAGTTCAGGTTTTAGCTCACTAATGCTATGGATCATCTACTGAGTTCCACTCCAAGTTTCTTTAGTTTTTGTTAAATAATATGCATTTTAACCTCTCTTGATGAGGACACACTTATACAGACAGTAAGTTATTTGGGGGAATCTTTTAAATTCTCACTAGCATTATATTAAGTGTTTTTAATACAGCTCTTCATGAACAAGAGAGATTATCTGTATTTTTAAAATATCTCAGGAAATGAAGATTGAAATCTTTCCAGTGATCAGCAAATAAGTGTAACAGAATGCAAAAGTCAGAAAGACATTGTAAGTGATCTACACAGTGAGTTGTTCCAATCCCCCAAGGATCTTTTTGTCGTCAATAAGCACTTATTTCTGCTCAGTTAGAATCTCAATCTGCCTACTAGCTGTAACAAAAACTAGTCAATTAAATTTGTCCAGAAATCAGAATGTATATCAGGTGGAAATTTAAATCACAATAACATCTGCTATTTCCCACCCTGGGTCTCTTTCACTGTTACTCTTGGATACTGTAAGTTTCTAGCACCCTCATGTGGCTTAATTGTAGTGGTTTCATAGGCATCTGGAATCAGCTGCCTGAAATTGAACAGCAGAATAAACTATAACTCAACATGGAAGTTCTGCTGGCATCATAAACAAAGAAAGAAAACCTCAAGTCAGCAAAATTCTAAGATGAATGTAGAGGCTCAATTCTTAAATTATTTGCTATCTACTGTTCGTTTTATGTGGGCTCAAGAAATGATGATTTACAGGCAACTAAAGCTGGTTTCTTCTTTGTCTGATAGGAATCCCCAGTCTTCAAGATCAAGCATTTGACAGGGCAATTACTGAATAGATTTAGAAAAAAAACACCTAATTTTGTGCAAAAGAAAACTAGGTGCTTTTATTGCCCAGTTTTTACATTCCTCAACTGGACAAAGCCAGCCACCCAATTATATATTACAGTTGCTAAATATATGAGCAATACTAGCTTTGAGATTGTCCATTGTCCTCACCAACATTTTAAGTAATTAAATTTTCTTCAATCATTTGAGCACAATTTATACACACACACACACACACACAATTTCCTTTTCTGAACATATTCCTAGGCTTATTCTTTCCAATAGCAGTATATTTTAGAGCTCTTTTAGAGGGGAGAAGCTGAAGGAGGACCATACTCTCTGTCTTAATTTGATAATAAATGTTCCTCTTATCTTGGATATATGCTGACGATCCACAAAAATTTTATAACTTCCAGTGCCTCAGAAAAACTCTTCTGGTGGAAAGTAAAATAGTAACTTTTCAAACACTAAGATTATTAGAATATTCTCAACATGAAAAGAAATTTAGAAATAATTGCCTATGCAGGGGATAAAAATGTAAATTGGTGAGAGATAGAGAGTTTACTAACCAAAATCTGAATGTGGATTAGTTTGCATACTGACTTGGAATCCCACTGTTGATAGCATCAGAATGCAAGAGGAATCCTTCTCTCATCAATATACACCAATATGCATATTAAAAATCAAAGTTAAGCCAAAATTTAAGAGAAAAGTTACAGAAAAGAGGTATTATTCATTTCATTGCTGATTGATAAAATATAGGTAACATTTGGTAATTTAACAACACGTACATTCATACATGCATATCAGATATTTGCAAATTCAAAAGACCTAATAAACTCATCACAATGTTTGCCGGCAAGAGTAGGGATAGAAGGTGACTATAAATATTGATAGATACCTTTGAAACACACATTTTAAAACTGTCACTTATCTCCTGGTTATGGTGACTACTTCCCCACACGGATACTGTTAACTCACTGAAACAGAATTTTGGCTAAACTTTGAAGGGTAAGAGAAAAGTCCATTTAACAGCTTCACAGAAGATATCGGGAGGGTACATGAGCCACCGTGCCTTACCTATTGAGCTGTTTCAGTGTCTTCTCCATGTTTAAAATGTCACGCATCTTATACAAAAACCACTTGTCAATGAATGTGAGCTTCTCGATCTCATCAAGGGACATATTGTTTTCGATGGCCTGACAGAAAGAGCAGAGACATTTCCATTGGTAAACATTTTTTTAATGTATTATTTGGTAGGAAACAGAGCAGTCCTCTGAACATTTAGAGTAAAGCATGAAGCCAGTATCACCAGTGTTGCCTTCAATAAACCTAAAGACACCACTGAGTACACATACAGATGGCACACAGAGGAGGGCCTGGCCTTGAGCCTTGAGAGTGACACATGCTTAGCGGAGCCCGAGAGGTAGGTCCTGCCTTCTCTTACACGTGTCCTTGGAATTAAAGACAATCTCTTGAAACTACAGTTAAGCCAACTAATTGGTGAGTAAATCTAAAATGAATATAATGCTCACTTAGCTAGCATTGTAATAGATGTCTTCAGCATTTAGCACACATTCATTGTCTTGTTCTATTTCTGATTAAACATACAACAGGAATCAGTCTTGGTATTAAATTTTTTTTAGAATATTCCTTCACAGTTCCTAACAGAAAATTAATTTGAATCAGTTACCATGATTTTTCTGCTCACACAAGTATTTTTCAAAACAATGTTGTAATAATTTGTGATCAGTTTGAGAGCTTGGTCTTTCCCTCATGTTTCAAAAGGCACTTTCTCAAGAGTAAAATTACAACTAAGTCACCAAGTTAAGTAGAAAGTGCACCTGAAAAAAGAGGAAAAATTCCAAAGCCTAAACTGTCTAACTCAGAAGAGGCTCATTCTTATTATTTCTTTGAGTGTGCATAGAGATATACATGTACATATATGACATGTGTTATACAGTGTGTATCATTAAGGTGAATTGTCAGGTTGATTGGCTTGGAGCCACCCGGAGGATTACAAAGACGCTTCTGAGTCTGTCTGGGAGGATCAGGGAGGTTTAAATCAGTACTGTATCTGATGTCTCATCAGTTCCTCGCTGGTGCTGGTTCTCCTCTCTGCTTCCTGGTCCCCATGAACTAAGCACCTTTACTCCAACATAGTCCGCCACCATGATGTTCCTGCTTAAATCCAGGCCACCATGCACTGAAACCTCTGAGACATGAACCAAATAAACCATTTCTCCTTTGAATGGTGGAGGTTGAGTTTTATCCCAGTAATTGGAAAGCTGGCTAATATACACAGCCACGTATAGATATATATTCCCAGTGAAAAATAACATTTGAAAGCTACTTTATTTTAGGATGACACCCTGTATTTTTAAATTCCATTGAGAAATACAAGCAACTAGTAACTCTGCTTTTAAATTTCAACCAGAGAATTTAGTTTACTTAATTCTTTTAATTAATTCTAATATCAGAAAAGCCTCAACTACATGTATTGAGCTACAGCATGACTCATAATTGTACAGGCCAGAATAAAATGGTATCTACTAAGAACATCTAAAATCATGTATTTCCTAAGACTGTTCCTTTTGTTTAATTCTTCCTGCTATCAAGCCATATTTCCAGGGTATATAATAACTTATTTCCCATCAGATTAAAGTAACAATCAACTACTGCCATCAACACTGTAAGGTAGACTGAACCTAAGTGACTTCTACTTTCAAAGGGTCTCATGGAGTTTTCATCTAGCGGAGCACAGGGAAGGAAGGCCCACAATCCTGCGGTTGTCTCACTGTGAGAAAGAACAGCTCTGTCTCATTTATAGCTTTGGACAGAAAGCAGATTCTGGCAGTCTCTTAGGACCACCTCTTTCTGTTCTCCAGCTTTGCAAAGTTACACCCTGGTAACCCATCATGACCCACAACACATTTGAGGTTACTTTAATGCTCCCAAACTTAAAAATAATGCCTTGCATTCTCCCCAAATCAAAAGAGGTGATGATCCAGCCATCCTGAATAAGACTGCTAAAAAATCAGGCCTCGGAGCAAGCTGCCCTTTTCTAAGAATCATGACGGCACAGGGAGATTTACACGCTCCCTTCACGCTTTCCCCTTCAGCCCGCTGCAGCCCTTACGCGCTGTCAAAACCGCCAATTCCTGGTTGTTGTGGAAATGAACGGTAATGATGACCTCTAACAAACAGACATAGCTCCTTCTCCCGGAGCTCTGGCAGACAATAATTTATATTTCAGACTCTGCGCTTCCTGCTTGTACACAGGGTACCCCATGCAAAAATGACCCTCCACGCATTTGCCGGGGTTTCTCACCCTTTATAAGTCTGTTAGCAAGGAATGAGAGATTTGAGTTTTACAACCTTCCTTTTCCATCTGCCTCAAAGTGGCAGAAATGTGATTGCCAGACTTGGAGAAAAATATCTATTTACTGTCCTTGGCCTAAGGAAAAATTGTGTGTGTGTGTGTGTGTGTGTGTGTGTGTGTGTGTGTGTGTGTGTTTTAAAAATCCACAAATGTGCAAGTGAATGTCATGGGTTGCTTTGAAATAAAAGACTAAAATACAATAGGAACAAGAAATTTTAAAAGGTAAAATGCCTTTCGGGAATAATTTCTCACCACTGCATTCTTCCCAACACCCCAGAAAACTTTATGTTGAGATGCAACATTGAGAACATTCACCCCACAATAATAGTTTCCCCGGAGATTTCAATGGGACTTAAAAATTCTAAATTTCAAAACCATAAGAGTGAGGAGAGTACATATTGCAGTCAGTGAAGGAGACATCCCTCCCTCTCCTTCCCCTCTCGCCCCAGGATTCTTAACATACGGATATAAAAATTACAGTGAGCTCCAAATCATAAATAGCAATTTTCTGTTGCTGCAAAGGCAAACAATAAAGTTGGATTTCTTCCTTAGAGATAAAATTCATATTTTCTCCAACTCATCCCAAATGCATATATACACATAAAATGGTCAGCAGGGCTCTGTAGACCCAGTGTGGGTTGATACTATTGAAGGATTAATGCCTGCACTTTCTTAAATGTCAAAAGGCATTCAGGGATTTCCGACCAGACAGATTCCAGCTGCCCCGGTCACCTTTTACACAATCAGATGAACTGAAACTTCAAACCTCTAAGCACAGTAAATATGAAAGGAGATTAATAAGGCACGTAATTTGCATCAAAAGTAAGTAATGGGAAGAAGTGAGGATATGGGGCTTTTTTTGTTCTAAAATAATAGCAATAAAATGATTACATAGAAAAGTCTAGAATCATGGAGGTTCTTCAGAGCCTGCTGCTACTGTTGTTCAAACACAGAAAAAATAGCAAATCAATTAAAATGATGCTAGTGTCTTTGATAGCACATATTAAATAATATGACCATATGGGCTTTCTTTTCTAAATACAGTTTTACACCTTTCTAAGGAATGAGTAATGGGAATATAGATAATGACAAGCCCATATTGCCAAATCCACTTAAGATTATTGATACTGCATACACTAAAAGGAAGAGACTTTTTATCTGTGTAACAACCTTCTAAAACTGTTCTGTGCCATTAAGTCTACGCTTCCAGTCAAATGAAAAAGGATAATTTATTATTAATTATAGAACATCTAATGAAATCCATACAATCCCCCAGTCTAAATCTCTCTTGAAGAGAATTAAGTTTTCCTGAAATCCCTGAATTTCAATACCACTTTGTGATTTGGTTTTCCTGAAGTTCATGCTGACTGTATTCTGAAAGGAAAAATAAATAGCTCTGGGGCCCTGGCACGCATTACCTTGGCAATGGCATACATGCGTGTGCTGGTTGGCTCCGAGAGCTCTTTCTTGAGGTCCAGGTTAGACGGCCACTCTTTGTTCATTGGGAGACGAGAGGTAAAGCCATCGATGGATGGGTGACACATCCGGAGAGCCTTCTGGAAACTCTCCTCAAACGTGCGACCAATAGCCATTACCTGGAACACATATTTAACATCCCACATTGAAAGACAGAACTCACATATTTTTAATTTGCAACAAAATTGTTGCAAATTAAAGCAGGATATTTTTCACAAAAGGCTTAATAACAATAGAAAAATGACAACTGGTCAAATTTTAAAGCATTATTTTTCAGTTCAGCATTCTCTTCCTCTATGATTTTAGTGTGTAATGAATCTTTCACATTACATCAGTTAGAGAATTCAGCTTTATTTGTTAGAATTGATGAGTAAAATTGCTTGTACTTGCACTGAGCCATAGGAGTATATTAAACTAAAGAAAGCATGACCAGGGCACACAGACCCTCATTTATTACATTCTTGCTTTTATGTTGAGTTTCTTTATTATAAAGAGCAAATAAAGAGAAATCAGACATTTAATAATACAAAAACAGAAGGCTTTGTTTGCTTGTTTGTTTGTTTGTTTGAGAAAAGGTTTCACTGTGGAATTCAGGCTGACTTTGAACTTACTAGGTAGCCCAGGCTGGTATTGAACTTGCTGTGATCCTCCTGCCTCAGCCTGTCAAGTGCTAGAGATTACAGACATGAGTCACTATGCCCAGCCAGAAGTATTTTATTTAAAAGTATTTTAGAAGTATGTCAGTATTCATGAAAGTTTGATTTTCTTTACAGTTAAGCATTAATATTAATAAAACCTTGAGAATCATAACTAATACTTATGATTTTGAATGTTGATGGAGACTAAATCCCCCGTGACAAATTCAATACATCTTCCTACAATCTCTACAGCTGACTTTATACTAATCAATTAGAGAAACCATGTAGCAAGTTGTTTGGAACAAGTTACAAGTCAGAACTAAACTTAAATTGGCCTTGCAACCCATCTAGTTATTCTCAGTGGATAAAAATTGTCTTTGAATCTTTCCAAGGAATAATATATTGTTATGCATTTTGCTCTCCAATTTAAAATAATAAGAGCCATAATGCTGTCTTCAGTAAACTTTGGTGATTCCTGAAATAGACTCCAATTCCCATTAGTGTCAGTTTAGGAAATCTCCATGTCAATTGTGTGACAAAATACATATTCAGAGATCACTAAAGCCAAACACATAACCTTTCTGCACTGCTATAAATTTTAATTAGAAATAAGGAAAAATTCACAAGAGCAAGGATAAATAAAACTTTAGTCCACTTCAGACATGAATTTTGCACATCATAGTAGTGTATTGAAAAGTTACACAATGTATTTATACATTGAGTAGACCAGACAAAAAAGAGACTGTCAGGAATCAGATATTTTATGGTGCTATAAAATAAAGATTTTGGGATATTTAATAAAGTTTGAGATATTACATCTATAAAATTTAACCTTAAAGTAACTAATCTCATAAGAAATTCTTCATATTAATTTATTCTTCTGATGCATACAATATATGGAATCCATTTGATAAAGAAAGCACACCTATATAATGATTAAAGCATGCATAATTGTGTTTCCTCAAATTCTATACTTTTTAATACTTTATGTTATTAAATTTCATTTTCATTAAGTGAAAAGTTCACCATTTTCCAACAAAATATCATGGCTTTCCTTAACCCTTTCCTGTTACATTCTCCTAGCATCTATACATATGCATATTTTAATTTTGGTCATAGAGTGCCGGACTCTCTTCCTATACTCTGAACTTACCAACTATAGCTAATGCATCATGACTCTCTAACGTCCCTTATGTTAGCCACCCAGGAGCTTGTATATGGTAAGAACGTGGGAAAGGTTCGCTGACTTGAGTTGAGCCAAACATAAGTGTAGATATTCACTACCACACAAAATTTCTTAGCTAATAAATCCTAAATAAAAACATTTAAAAATTCAAATTATTATCCTGCAAGTTTCATTGTGAACATTATGAAAAAGAACAATTTCTCATGAAGTTTAAGCTTATACAGTTGTTGTTTGACAATATCAAAGCAGTTTTTCATGCCCTGAAGCTCTCATCCTTTTTGCCCTGAAAAGCATGATAGTAAAAATAAGTTTTATAATGATTATGGAGGAAGAAAACCCACTTACTTGGTGTTTCATAGCAAGACATTTTATTTTAAAAAGGTCCACTTGTTTCTTATCTGTCACAACTTTAAAATCACTCATATCTTGGCAATTAAGGAAATCAAAATAATAATAATTCTGCCTTTCATGTGAAATCACAAAACATTAAAATGCCTTCTTTCTTCTTCTCCTCAAATTGGTGATGGTTTTGCACTGTTTCTTTTGACTAGTGGCATGTATGGTATTTCTGAAATGACTAGTCTAAACTTAGCCTATAATCTTGTGTTATAGAACAAATGAAAGTTAGTATGGAACAATATCCTGAATAATCCTTTTCTCTAGCCAGCGTAGATACCTAAATACAGATGATAGACACACAGATAGGTAGGTGATTAGCAGATAGGGATTGATTTCATGCATAATTCTGAATCTACCCCTACATAATACTTATGAATATAGTTTAATAATAATAATAACAATGGGTCACAGCAAAGTGTACTATGAGTTTGCCCTAAAACGTGCTGCTGAGCTCTTTACATGCAGTGACCTTAACCTGCAGGGTGGGTATGATCACTCCGTTTCTTAGAGGTGAATCCCAAGGCTCAGGGTCTTGCCTGAACATCCCCAGTCAATGAATGACAACCAAGGGTGACCCTCAGTCCCTCTGGCTTCAATGCCCACACTCCCTGCCAATCCCCGGAAGGCAAAGAGAGAGAAGCTTGGTGGAGACAGGCACAGGGGTGAATGGAAGAAGCAAGGAGCACGATTCCTTTCTTTCCTCCCACATTGAGGAGTGCTGCACCACTGAATGTGGAATAATCAAACACTACCTCTAATTTTCAATCGGAAAACAAAGGGACCTCACGACAAATCTTCTAAAAGTGCTGTAAGCTTACAACTTTCCAGTGCTACAATGAAAGGAGGCTTAATATCTAGACTGTGCTGCCTCTCAGTTTAGAACTTTTGAGCTGGATGGGCTTTCAGAGATAATCTGCTCTTGGCTTCTCCTTTATAAATGTGGAAAGCTGAGGTCCCAGGAGACAAAAGCCACAATTCAAGCTAATTCTTAACTGTCAGTTTCCTAGTCAGTTTGATGTAGGATATTGTCTTTATGTTACCTCACTTTCTTGATTGCTTGATTATAAAGAATGACAACTCAACTATATTTAAATGAATGTGTTTTTATATATGCATATGTATAACCTATATTCCCACTTGCATGAGCTCAACTTTTGACTAGAAAGATTCTGAATTTAGCAAAATAGCTGTGCCACAAATGCTATATGCTAACATTTGATAGTCATACGTTAAAAACATCAAGATTCTTCAACAAAGACTCCAGTGTCTGGGCAATTTTAACATTTCCAGTGGTATTAAGATTGAAAAAATGACTGAAAATAAAGACAAAAACACTAAAAACTCACCTCTCCTACACTTTTCATAGAGCTGCCAATTCTGCTAGAAGTTCCATGGAAACGGTCAAGGTCCCAGCGAGGAATCTTGGTGACCATATAGTCCAGGCTAGGTTCAAAACAAGCTGATGTCTTCCCGGATACAACATTCTTGATTTCAGGAAGTGGGATTCCTAGGGCGATCTTTGCTGCAATGAATGCTAACGGGTAGCTACAAAGAAGACACATTTGTTTTAGATTTTGCTTTTCTTTGAGCAATAAGTATTGAGAGCAGCTCAAAATATAAATTGATTTTTCTTGAAAATTCTGGTATTATTCCAGTTTCATTTGTAACACACCTGATTCTCTGCTGTGCATAAATATTTAATAGCTACCTACAAAATAATATAAGTTGGGATAAATCAGAAAGGCACTAGAGACTACTTCCTATGATTTACATGGACTACTATTACTGTCATCCTTCACCTCTACAACCCAAAATCAGTGGCTTCCGTGATAAGTACAATTTAAACTCTACTGGTGTTTGACCTCTACCTAGTCATGAATCTGCAAAGTAGTCTTTTTAAAAATATATATATATATATATATATAAAATATATATAAATATACATATATATATATACCTATCTGTATCAAGGAAAATAGTAGAGTTAGATGTTACTCGTGAGCATTGGAAAGGTCAGGAAATGTAGGCAATATAGGTTTGGGTTTTGGTTCTGTCTCTATAAATTATGTTTAAACATTGGGCCCCTTAAAACAATTATTCTGGGTACTACTCACATCTGAAATGTCAGTTTGGGTATTTTATGTGGGAATAATTCATAGAAGTGTAGAAATAAATATTAGTTCTTTAGTACAACTTCCTATCCATCAGATGAGGGAACTAACACAGAGAACTAGTGTTCCCAAGATCACTCAGTTCACAGAAAAACAAAGTGAAAACTTAGGACTTGTGACTCCTGCCTAGAGCAACACACCGTGTACCACTCCATAAAGCACTGCGTAGCTACGGACAGAGCAGAAAAACCTATAGAAGCAAGCATTTGTGTTTATTCAAATGTATATGATTTGAATGTCAGATGCCAAAGCTATTAATAGGAAAAAAAGATTTCATTATTGTGGGGTGTTTTGTTTTGTTTTATTTTGTTATGTTTTTAGACAAGGTCTTGCTGTGTAGGTCAGTCTGGCCTGGACCCAGTATGTAATCCAGGCTGACCTCAAACTCACAGCCCTCCTCCTCCTTGGCCTTCCTTCCCAGTGCTGGAATTACAGGCATGCGCCACCATGCCCAGCTAAACAAAAACTTTTAATTAAATTTCCAGTTATGCTTGCCAGCAGTTTTTAAATGGACAATGTGTTTATTTACTTGGTTGCAACAATTACCACTGGAAAAATTCTACCTTGTTTAGTCTCATGTAGTTTTTTCACTCATTCATTTGTTTTAAATAGATAAGACTGTACGTTTTTATCAAGTATGAGGTTGCTAAAAACCAAAATGATGTACATTGAAAGCTTGCACTGAGTGAACTATATTTTTATTGACCACTTGCAATAAGGGTATGTTCTCAAGTCAATTGAAGGCAAAAATGAAGCACTAATGCATATTTTTAATAATATCTGCAAAGTGCAATTAAGAAGCAGATCTTTCACAGCCTGCTTTGGCTACCCAGATGTTGATTAGTTTATTAATAGCCAGCAAACAAAGTCAGCTAGCAATACCATTTCCCTCCATCTGTCAACAGGCTCGTTAATAATAATGTCATCAGGCTCCCATGAACGATTTGTACCTAGCTACAGAAAAGGGGCTAGTGTTCATAAGCACAGCACAGTCTTCTCATAGCAATCCATATTCTACTTCTATTTGCAAACCCAGGGTCCGTTCTTACCCAGTAGCCTTTGAGGCCAAGGCAGAGCTCCGGGAAAGTCTGGCGTTCACTTCAATGATGCAGTATTCCATTGAGGTAGGGTGAAGAGCAAACTGAATATTGCATTCGCCCACGATGCCCAAGTGGCGAACAACGTTTATGGAAGACTGTCTCAACATCTGAAACTCTGCGTTAGACAGCGTCTGGGCGGGAGCCACAACGACCGAATCACCTGTGCACCCAAGTAGCATTCATTACTTGATGGCATTTTTTAATAACCCACTTCAGCCACTTGGCAACCCACCTAAATTACATAAGACATCAACCAAGAGCTTCCTGGGAAAATAATTATCCTAAGATTGTACGTTATACATGTATAAAATATACAGGATTTTACACGAGCGATATCACGTGTTCTACCTGATTCCTGACTTGCCCTTGCTATTCATGGAGATCTCTCTAACGTTGCCGGGCTCCTCTAGCTATCAAAGCTTCACTCACCTGCTTACTCAGTTGGCAGTGCCTTCCTCAACTTTATATCTCTTATTCATCTCCAATCAGCTCTCTAGTCTCTATATTGTTCTCTCAATAGAATATTATCTTCTTGCACATGAACCGGATCATCTGTCTTGTGTCTATCTTATTTCTTCCATTTCCAACTGCAGCCCTTGTAACTGCAGTCTCATGATGCTCTAGTCTCTCTGTCCTTTCCTCTACAAATCTTCTCATTTCTCTTCTGCCAAGAAGCTCTACGTCTCAACACAAGCTCATCTCTCAACACTGGCAGACATACCAACTTTCCTTTCAATTTTTTACTTGGCCAAACGTCTTGAAAGTTTGCCAAATTTTCTTAACCCTCACTAGTATATAATCTCTTTCTACATGGCTCTCAGAACTAATTCTGCATTGAAACTGTTGTTGTATATTTAAATCCCAAAGGAAATATTCATCTTTTACTTTCCATAGCATTTGATACTCTCAAAAAAAAAACAGCTCTTTTTAAAAATATACATATGTTTGCATTGGCTCAGTTGGTACTATTCTATCCTGGGTTTTTCACTTCTTGCTTTATCTCTAACATTTCCTTTTACGCCCTCTCTGTACATGTAAATGTTTCTGTAGCTCAGTTTAACCTGATTTTTTCCTTTCTCTACACCTAGACCCTGGAATACTTTATCTATGCCTCCAAATTCAGTTATTTTCTTCATACCAAAGGACTTCCAAGGACCACATAACCTCTTGAATTCCAGTTCCACATTCTCAACTCCCTTCTTGAGAGTTCCACCCACATTTCAAATTTAGCATTTCTAAAATATGTCATAATCTTTGCTCTCTTACCTAACTAGCCTACCTTGCTTGAGAAACATATTGCTTTTTTACCCAAGACTATTTTCTCAATCACTTAGTAACTAACACTTCAGTCTGATTTAGGCCCTCTCTATCTCTCTCTTTACTTTTAAACATTAGCCTTATACATTATAGATTATAGATTATAGATTATAAGTTTGCCTCCAGTTCATTACATATATTTGACTTGTTCCTCAATGAACACAAAATAATATCATCCATATTACTTCATAGGAATTTTAGGAAGATCAAATTAAATGTGAAATGATTTCCAATATTATAAAATATCATGAAATGTGATCACTAGTCTGTCAGTTATAAATAGCAAAACACTTCATAAAGATTGCTGAAATCATCAGAGGCATGAGCTGAATGTCTTACTGTGGTTCTGGAACGTTCCTTGCCTACCTGTGTGCACGCCCATAGCATCGACATTTTCCATGTTACAGACAGTAACACAATTGTCATCAGCATCCCGGACCACTTCGTATTCTATTTCTTTCCAGCCTGTCACTGACCTCTCCACCAAAATCTGGTTGGTTAAAGCAAAGGCCTGGAAATTGATGACACAAGATATCAAAGGTTAAGAAAAGGCACTGGTTTAAACAAGGACCCTTAGCAAAACATGCTGGCCTAAATCTTGGTCACCACTGAAGTCTCAAACTCAGTCTTCAAACTCCCCTGTACCTCAGAAGCCACAATGTATCAGAAAATCAGTGAGATCAGGAATAGCATCCTGCAGTGAATATGCTTGATTTACATTATTGAGGCTTGGCATTCAGAGTGCTGATATGACATTAAATCAAACTAATTTAGGAAAAAGAGAAAATAATTGAGCAATCAGGCAGAGGGAAATGAAATTATTTCAGCAGCTAGGCTCTGTGAAACCAGAAAATGTGATAAGTCCAAATAAATGTGTAAAAATAAGTTTAAAGACTCCGGCTTCCTCTAAAATAGCTGAGAATGCTTTGCATGGTGACACACACAATAAAAGTTAGTGGATGTTGATGAGGAAGAGAAAGGAGATGATGATGGTTGTAAACAGTTAGCCAAGATGGCATATGAAACTCAGAAATTAGCAGAATCATATGCAGCTATTATTATGGTTAATCACTGCCTAAGTGCTTAAATACTCTGTGTCATATATCATGCATGCTTGATTAGACAGATATGGATTGGTGTAATTATCATTTCATTTTTACTGCATACCCACAGTTGGTAGAACACTGGACCTAAAATATGGAAGACTCAATCTCTAATCTTAGCCCACATATTGAATGACAATTCAAGACAAAAATGTACATTTATCTCATAATATATTTGATTTGGGGAGACAATGAAAAGGAAGTAGTTTGAATTTTTCCAAACTATTAGTAAGCTATATAATGAACTAATAACGGCATTTTTAACATTTTCCATAATGTATCCCAACACTATCTTTTTTAATCTCATCCTCACTAAAGGCTCCGGGATATACAACTGCAAATGTGATACATTTGTTCCTCACAGCTGCCCAAAGGGTTGTTTTAAAAATGGTTAGGACACTGCATAACCACAGTAACAAGGTAATAATGATTAGTCTATCATTCAGGTTGCCTGCAAATAGAAGCCACCTAGGAAACACAGAGCATGGATTCAGAAAAGCTTTTTGCATTCTAACAAAGTAGATGAATATCCGGATACAAAAAAATTCAGATATTTTCTACCTGTTTTCCGGGGATTTTTTTCTTTATTTCACATCTCAAATTCTACAAAAAGTCAACTTTAGGACCTACAGGAATTAATGCACCTTCTACTGTCATGAAATACAACCAACAAAGAAGAAGGAGTCATTTACTTTTTAATATAATTAATCTCAAGAGAAAACTAAGATTTTAACAAAGAAACCCATACATCAGCCAAATGAATATTTTAACAGAATATGAACATTTGAAAAATTGGACCACTCCAAATTTTTTTCATTTTACATAAAAATTTAAGAATTCAAGACTGTTCTCTGTACCGTATAAAATTATTCCTGAGTTGATACTGTCACTGTTGACAGTAATAACAAGATTACTAATATTAAGAAACTAGAATATCTAATACACTAGAGAAAATAAATATATTTCATATCTCCAACATGTTCTTGCTTTGAATACATGATTAAGGATTCCATAATAAAAGATATAAATACTTATATTAGATATTTCCCCTTTTGTGGTATTTTAGCAACTTCAGGAAACCTAAATCCAAGTCACTGACACATAAGTCTGTCTTCACTAGGAAGATATCTTTAGCTGTATTTATCTGTTCTCAGAATACAATGCCAACAATTCAAGGTTCTCTTACCATTTCAGCCTAAAAGTTAAGTGATCATTCAGCAAACAGCTGTATTTGAACTATTTACTAAGCACTCCTGAAGCAGCCTTCACAATAATTATGCCAGATTACACCATTATGCTGCATATAAGCTACATAGTCATTTGGGCTGCACGCATGTTCATTCATTAAAAGAAATTACTGAGTCCCTGGTATTGGCTGGCCCAGTTCTACAGGAAAAGAACAAGGCCAAAGGTCTCCAAGGCAATGTTTGCTATGCTAGTCTCTCTTTTCGGAGCTCAACTAAATTTTCTCCAGGTATTTTCTTAAACACTGAAGAAGGATTGAATAATACAATAAAGTTATTTTGTTGTTATGTTTGCACGGGAATCAGCAAAGCTCAGTCATTTCCTAAACTAAGAGGCGCTCACTGAGTGTAGCTTACCCCACTGAACTGTGGGTAATCAAACAGCGCATGGCACTTCACTTCCTTTACCAGACTGTCACATTATTTCTCCAAAAAATGGAAAAATTGAAGCATTGCACCTTGCTTCTTTTAACCACTAAAATATATTTTAGGATTATGAACACTTTAGAGTGGATGTTTAAGCAGAGGGGGGGATAAAATTATATTAAGTTCGATTCACTGAAGTAATAGACTGTAAAGCAAAGGCAGACCTGAAGGTCTAGTGACCACTAGCTCACCCAGAATTATGTTGGCTATCACGCTATCCTGGCAGTAAGAACCACACTGCATTTCCTTCTCCGAAGTGGGCTTGTGACTATCCTTTTAACACACACGACAGTGATTTAGTAAACACAGAAAGGGTCATTTTTCACCCACTTAACTTTGTCTAATTAAATGAACATATCAGCCCAGCCATTTGATTGGTAAGAATATTGTCTATAAAAGTAACTACCTTCGTGCTGAGATCCATTAAGGTCTCCTTGTTGGGACAGATGCCTGAGCCCAGCCCGCCGAGTGCATAAGCAGAACGGATCATCACTGGGTAGCCGATGCTGTCTGCCGCCTTCAGGGCGGCCTCAACCTGGATGGAAGATCAAGGGTACCAAACTTGAAAGACAGCAGTAGGAAAAGGGAGAGAAATATACATGCAGATATTCCAAGTCTAAAAACACAGGTAAATTAATTATTTGGGATAGGTACAAAACTATTATTCTTTCATCTTCTAAATATCAAGTGTTGTTATACACATAGTAAGTTAAATTCTAGAAGTTTTTTAGCATGTGTGTGTATTCACTTTTTCCTGGTAAATCTTACCTTGATCTCTAAAAAAATGAAACCACAGAAGCAAAAATATTCATTTATTTGATAAGGGAGGGAACACATATCAAATAAACGAAATTTTAACTTCAGTGTAGAAGTCTATTTTTAAATGAAACGAAGTTTCCTACGGGTGGAGCTATACCCCAATAAGCCATTAGGAATACCATATAGAAAGAAGATTTTCACTTTTCAAGTTCAGTCTGAGGATAGTCTTAGAAGTTTAGAATTTTTTAACTTATAGAACACAACATATGGTGGCTGTATTTTCTTGCCACGGAGTATTACTGCACTGCCAATGGGGATGTAACTACACCTTTCCTGAGCGTCTGATTCTCATCCATGGAAAGCCAGGATATAGCTGTATCTGGCAGCAGAAGAACAGGTGTAACACAAGAGATTCCCAAAATGCTCAGCAGGCCTGCCGGGGTTACTCTTGATGTGGAACCTGAGAGGTACTCAGCAGCCTTCTTCTCTGACACTAAATTCCCCAAGGTAGTCACCCCAACAGGACCGGCCTTATCCCTGAGGCTCTGCCCCTTTCTACAACTGGGAAATTGCTTTAAAACTGCAGGCAGCACCTCCACTTCACCAAGCATATGCCTGCCTGGATTGCAAGTTAAAGTCGGGCAAGAGAGCTGTACAAGTAGCTGAGTTTTTTCTTGGAGACATTAACAGCCTGTCAATAGGCAGAGTATTCAGTGGAAAATGGGTAAGAGGAAAGGACATTGTCTACTGTTTTTTAAATATCTAAGTCACAGATTTCTCGTGAGTCTAAAACATGTGTTCCATTGAAAAAAAACAGTTTTAAATCCAACCTTACATGCAGAGAACATATATATACCAGATATGTGGCTGACCCAGGAAAACACCAAAAATAACTTAGTGTTGCAAATTACTGGGGTTTCTGGGTTCAGTTTAGCAAATCTGAGGTACACTAGCACCTTGTCCACTGATAAACCACCAGATCTCTTGTCTTAGGTTTCTCTTTTCATAAAATAAAATACTAATACCTATTCCTAACATTTAAGCATTGACTGCTATCATTAGCACACACAATCCCAGATGTATTAACATATTTCTAGAACAAAGTGTATGCAAGTTTAATAATTTCAACTATTATTGTTAAGCACAACAAAGCATTATCCCTACAATGAAAGACAAATAATGCCTCTGCTTCCCCAGAAAGAGGATTGCTTACCGACTCCACTGCAAAACTTGGGGCAATCTTTTCATTAATCTCATTTAGTTTGTCTGCAAACAGCTGCCTGTCTTCTGTAGCCATAATGGATTCGACAGAAGTTCCAAGGACTTTCACACCGTATTCCTTGAGCACACCTCTCTTGAATAATTCCACGCCTGTAAGAACCAATATAATCAGTTCTTACAACACAAAACTCTGTCTTCCTTTATGGGTACCCAAACATAATGTTTTTTAATCTTAAAATTAAATCCAAGAAACTACCACAGTCCAGAATAGAATTATACTCAGAAAAAAACTGAAACAAAAATTCTAAAAACGATCTCACGAACATATTTATTATATTCCTAATACTTACATTACCATCATCTGCACATTGACTTTAATATCTTCACTAATATAAATCAGAATTATACATTGCACCATAAGATTTCATCGTATTCACTCACTGCCTTTAAAGGTATATTTTTGTAATGAGATTCTATTATTTAAATGATCTGAGATCCACTGGTTATCTATCTGGGTTTTAAAAAATCATCAAAATTATTTACATTTCTACTGCTATCTAACTTTGTGTGTCTTTTATGTTCAGCATACAAATTATATTCCCAGTTGTCTACCCTAGCTACCTACTGAGATTCTCACTCACGATCTAGCTGCAAATATCTGAAGCATTGCAAAGAGAATAAAGTATCAGACTCAGGAGATCCCTGAAGAAACGGTATAGACTGATGTGCATTATCGCGAAAATACAAGTGAAAGTCACAAAAATATATCCTGCAGGACAGATACAAAACCAATGTTAATGTTCATCTTAATGAAATAAACAATGTGAATTTTTGTTTTTTGAATTTTCATTTTACAGCTGTGATGATTCTCAAATGTCCAGTATAGAAGAGGAAAGCAAAATCCTGCAACCAAAGAGAGAATGCCAAGAAACCTGTTCGGCTTCTCTGCAGCAACAAAATGAAAGGTTTCTTGTCTCTCAGGTGTTTGTGAAATAAACAAGTCAGTGATGATTTTAGGTGGCTTTTTGCTAACTGCTTCTTCACATGTTAGAAGAAAGGAACACAAATATTGTATGAATTCAGATAGAATCCAAGAGTAGATGATGCATAAGGACATTGCATCAAAACTCTGCAACCAGATTTCAAAGTCCTCACCGCAGTTCAGAGCCGTCTGGCCGCCCATGCCTAGAATCAAGCCGTCGGGCCGTTCTGCCTTGATGACCTCTGTGACAAACTGAGGAGTGATGGGAAGAAAGTAGACGGTGTCTGCCTGCTTCAAGCCCACCTCGTTGGTCTGCACTGAAGCAATGTTTGGGTTCATCAGGACGGTTTTGACATTTTCTTCCTGAAAGACACCGTACGATCAAATATTTGAATGTATGGTCTAAAGAAGGGAATGGCTATGACCGCATGAAGGGTTACCAAGGAACAAGGCTCTCCAGTTATTCAGTGCGCTGGCTTTAGAGCTCAGTAAGACAGCAAGTGAATGGAAATAAAATGAAAAGTGTTTTCTCAAAGAAAGGAAGAAATTGTTTAACAGCAAAATTATCCAACATGAAAAGGGCACCTTACAAGGTTCACCATGACGTCCTTGTCACTAAAGACGTCAAGCAAAGCTGGTGAGGTCTACAGATAGTTGACTTTAATAGAATGAAATTTTCCAAAAATTTTAAAATGAATAAACAAAGGGAACCAGAGAGAACACCAAAAATAGAACACCCTTCTATTATTCATCGGAGAACAACATGGAGTGTATTATGGAGGACAATGGCTCCCTTCCCGCCAGAGGAACTAAGAGCCTTTGGCTAGCCCCACTTTTTCCGAAATATTCATGCCTGCTGCATTACTTTAACAAGGAGCATTATGCAGCAACTTCTGCATATTATATGGAAAAAACTGGCCATGTGGCAAAAAAATAAAAATATAAATTAGTGTTTATGTTTGGAAACTATGTCTGACATGTATTATGTGTGTGTGTGTACACTGTATATGCAGGATGGTATTCATAGCCTTGTGTCATTTCTACATCTAGAGAGACCTTAAAAAGCATTCTGCACTTAGGCCACTAAGAATAACAGCTTTAAAAACCAGGATGAAGGTGACTCATGGCAAAGTAATTCTTATGAAATATGGCCAAGTAGTTCTTGTTATTTCACAAATTAGTAACTCAATTTTAAATTTTTCTAAGAGGTCAACAAAATACTTAGATAGAGTACAGAAATCATCGTTTCAAAGCCCCATCTATCGTTGGAGGAGTAGCTTACTAAAAATTAAATATATTGTATGCTACTTTGTATTCAAGTAGTCCCTTTATGTATATGATAGACTTTTTACTACTAACTTAGTTGATTTTTACACTATGAAAAAGAGCTCCACCTTTTAGATGAAGAAATTGAGATTCAATAAGGTTAAAGAGTTTGACAAAGGTCAATTAGCTGATAAGTGGCAGTATCAGGACTCTAAACCCAATGCTATGGTTCAAACCCTGTGCCTTGCCCTCAGTAATCAAAGGGTTTTTTTTAAACTGTTTAGAATGAAAGTATTTAGAATAAGAGTATTGTTATTACTAAGAAAATGTTGAAAAAAATATAGAGAAACAAATCCATCTTGAGCATATATTAGCATTTCAATAATTGAATCAAAATTGAAATTGCTTCATTAGCAGAAGTCATCACAAGTCTGACAACTAAAGAAAAGTACCAAGAAATTTAAGTATACCTACATATTTTTCTGAAAGTGTTATACAATAAATACGACTTTTTCTAAATTATGTAGAAAAATTACATGCATATCCATGGGGATTGGACACATACCGTTCACACTGAGCTACATTCCCAGACGTATTTTATTTTTATATTGTGAATGTCTCACAAGGTAGCTAAATTCATCAAGCTGGGCTCGAATTTGGGATCTGCCTACCTCAGACCACCAGATTACAAGGATTGCAGGCCTGAACCACCATGCCCAGCAAACATCTGTTCATTTAAAAATGTAGGCTTTCATACCATTTCAATTATTTTTACATCATTTTTCTATTTTTCTAATTCTGATTATAATACAAGCACCAGTTTTATTAATGTTTTTAGTTTATAAATTAATCTTTACTACCCTCTTAATGAATCACAATACAGTACGTACTAATAGACGTTCTTCAATTAAAAATGGATATACAACATAAAAATACAAACTATAAAATGTGAAATCTTTGTAAATCTCCCAAGCAGCATAAGAATGTTATGTTGCTGACTTCCTGACACACCTGTATTTTAAATCCTGAACACACCTAGACTGGGTCCTAAGCAACCTAAACAAGAGAGAAAGAAAGAAAGAAAGAAAGAAGAGAGAGAGAGAGAGAAGAAAGAAAGAAAGAAAGAAAGAAAGAAAGAAAGAAAGAAAGAAAGAAAGAAAGAAAGGGAAAGGAAAGAAAAGAAAAGAAAAGAAAAGAAAAGAAAAGAAAAGAGAAGAAAAGAAAAAGTCAGTCAACTGCTTTCCACTCTGCTGCTGACATCTGCACGCTGCCCTGTACTGATCGGGTCTCTGGCAAACAGCTTACCAGGCAACACCTGAGGCAAGGTCACCAGGCGCTCCTGTCCCCTCTGCATGGCCTGATTAGCACCAACATACAGTTGATGGGGAAAACAAGGAGGCCAACGAGAGGCCAATTTTCCTCCTTCGCAGAAACACCGTAAACACACAGCAGAATTCCTCTAGAGGTTTATTTTATTCCAATGGTTGAGACCTCAAGACACGCAAGAAATAGTGACTGCACCCTTCACTTCAAATTTCCTTTTTCACTTGGAAAGCCAGCCAGCCCATTCATTTGATTAGCCCAAATCACTGATACAGAATTGAGTCCCCGGGGGACAGATAGTAACTCCTAGTGAGCAAAGCAAACCTCGGTTGCCTCCCTCTCCTAACCGGAGTGTCCCACTTTCAGGGCAGAGATGCCTGAAGCATCTTCAGAGCATGACACATACTTTAAGCCACCAAGATACCCAAATTCCCTCTTTGATGTGAAAGATAAATATATTTGAAAAGCATACGGCCTCCTTAGGAATGAGCACTATCTATAAATGTAGCTTTATTTTTTCAGTATAAGTAGTCAATGTCTGTAAATAATTTTGGGGTCCAATAGTCTTCCTCAGTTAGTAGATATGCATATTTGAGAAGATGAAAACTCGCAGTGTGTCATTAAACTTCTCTTCACACAGATGTGTAAGTAGAGTTACAAAAATAATGATAGTGACTTTGAAAATAGGTACTGTCATAAATCTAAATTATAAAACGCTAATTAGACTCATTAAGGAGAATATATTAATTCTAGTGGAGTGCATGTTCTCTCACCTTCATGGCTTTAACAGCTTGAGATCCGGAGTAATCAAATTCACCTGCCTGACCAATGGAGAGACCTCCTGATCCCAGGATGAGGACCTTGGAAACCTAGAAACAATGTGAAAAGGTGATTTTTTATTACCAAGGGATAGAAACAAGGCATTCTCCAGAGTGTGGAAAATAAATTAGTTTGCCTGAGTTTATGCAGTAATTTTAAGTAGACTGTTCTGAAAAACATATTATGTGCGGAAAAAATTTAGCAATTTAAACCTCTAATTTCACTGCACTTTCTGAACTTCATGAACACATTTTTAACACAAGTAGAAGAAATCTGAAAGAGGTTTTACATTAATTTAAACATATGTAAATATCAAAAATTATCTATGCAAATATATGTGACCATATACCTATGTGTATACATAAGTACATATCGTTGAAAATACACATACATCCTTCTTTTATATAACATGGGTGTTGGTATGTATGTGCTTTATAAAGAAAATGGGTAGAAATATTTTCATGTTAACATATACATAGCCAAATAAATACTGAAGTCTTATGCTATATTAATCTTTATCTATTTGCTTTTTAGAGGTAAAATTATATTGTTCATTTATGTTATTGTATAATATTTCTTCTGGCTGAAACAAAAAGAATTCTGCCAACTGTAATGATTCCATAGTCTGAATTGCATCTCAGATTACATTGGACTCTAAAATTTTTAGTAATGGAAAATAAATCAAATTATAAATTAAGCACTATTCTTTATTACACTGTTACTTCAAATATTCTAGAAGTAAATTTTAAAAGATATGATTTTAAATGAAACCATAAAAAGAACTCCAAACAGTATCTTCAAGAACAAACCAAACACAGTAACTAGTTGTGAAAAGATACATAAACACATTTCCAGTCATCTTTCACAGATATTCGTGTGAGTTACATGATTTATTTAAAAATCAGAATGGGACAAAGAAAATTCAAAAGCATGCACCAAAAATACACTGACCTCAACTCGAGAAGCAACAAGTGCTGGCTTCGGTAAAACCGATGCAATGGTAGTAGCTTTGCCCTTCTTTATCAGTGAAAAAAAGGAATCAAAGAGATACTAGAAAAAAAATACAACCAAGCGGTTAAAAGCTTCCAAACTTCTCAGGTTGCTGGGTAAAACACAGACTACTAGTTCAACTGGAACATAGATAAGTAACAAGTATTTATTTGTTAGTATGTTTCAAGGACTTATGTTTTACAGTAAAAGTTTTCCAAAGCAACATGTGGGGATCTGTTACTGGTTTTGATTTAAATATTTTTGTTTTTGTCGGTAACTAAATATCTATTACCATAAAAGTTAGATCAAGTAAACACTTCTATCTGTTCCCTTTAAGTCCTAAAAAGAGGATGATTTCAGCAAAAAATAAAAGATTTCATATGTCTTCTGTGAATACCAAGCTTCCAGTCCCTTAATTGTATATCATTTTCTTCTTCTAAATCAAATTACAGTTAGGCCAAAGAAACAAAACTGTGTCACTTTGCATCCTAAAATTAGAAATGCTGTTTTACAAATTTTCTGCAAGCTCTAAAAGTAATCTCTAAAGATTAATCTTGAACTTTACCAAAGAGGTTTTATATTTTTGTTTTGTCAGTAGATAAAACAAATTTCAACAAAGGTATCCATTTTGGAAAAAAAAAAAAAGAGGATTAAATCATAGCATGTTTAATTCCACAGCCTAATCTGAAGTCCTAATATGGCTAATCATAAAAATTCTACATTAGAAAAATACTTGGCATGTGTTAGATGAAATATTTAACTAAATTTTACACGTTTCATCATGAATAAGCAATATTATTGTGGTTTTGGCTGTCAAGAAACAATGTTTCTTAGTAATATTAAAACAAAAACCAAATATAAATATTAAAAAGACAATTTAGATTGGAGAGAGCAGAATTTAGGGAGGGAAAAGTCTTATTCCCTCTTCATTTTACCAGGATGTCTTTTCTGAGAGTATGTGCTATTTTTATGACTTGTGTCTAGATGTGGCCCCGAAGCCTCCTGCAGGCGTAGGTGGGGCTTTTTCAAAAGTGGCTGATCTAAGTATGTGATGCTGGGATTAAGGGTGGGCGGTTACTAAATCAATCCATTGATTGGTTTGGCACCACCAAATTCTGGCAGCCTATAGTAAGAAAGGGGTAGAAAAATGCTGCTAATGTTCCTTGGTACTTGATTACATTCCTCTCAGCAGGCTACCCTGTCTTGGAGCCACCCAATGATGGACTGAATGAAACCTCTGCAAACTGTGAGTGAAATAAATCTTTCCTCTCTTAAGTTTGGGCATCGGGTATTTTGTCACAGCAACAAAAGTAACTAAGGCTGTTGTCAGCCATGCATTGTCAGTACTATGACAGAAAAGCTAAGTATCAACAGTCTGATGCTGTGATGTGCTCACCAGCCCACCACATAGTTAGACCATTAAACTCAGTTAGGCTTGACTGAGTATATCAGCTGCAACTTAGAGACAGCCCAGCCGGACTCAGTGCGAGCACATCTATCTGGACTGCTTGTGCTGTCTGACGTATCCACACATTCTATTTTCAAGGACTGTCCAACCCAGATAAACTAGTCAAGGATGTGCTTAGTTTCAGCCACCACCACCCCTCTCCCCAGTCCCATCTCCTTCTCTGTTTCCTTGCCGTATGATAAACAAGCCCTCTGACTAACCTGCCCAGAAAAACCTGCCTGACAACATATGACTTGATTCATGTAACCAATTATAGAATAATGTGCTCTCAGCTTTGAACTTGCTGCTTGCAAATCCTACATAAACTAACCCCAAAGCTGGCTCGGGGCTGGTGATTTGGACTTGGTCCCACCAGCCTGCTAACATAATAAACAGTTGCTTTCCAACTCCTGGGGTGAAGGGTCTTTCATTTGGTTTGATATCAGATTTCCTCAACAGCATGACTGCTGGAAGTCGCTGGGTATGACACAGGAAGAGACATAACAAGCTTACAAGATTTTTCCAGGTGACATGGTGAGCTTTGATTTTGGAAAGATAAACCTCAACACTGAACCAAGGGCTCACATTTAAAAGTAAAAATATTTAGGTTAGGAAGAAGACTCTTGGAGCATTAGGGTTCTTTTCTTAAGCCATGAGAGGCACACGAATGTGCTGGAAGCAGCCCTCGCCCTCCCTCACCCGGCCCTCCTTTCTCCTGCTGCTGTTTATTCTCCTTTCATGGCAACAGGACCAGTTGCCATAGGGATTTTTTTGAAATCACAGATGGGGGATTAAAATTTCATTTCAGTTATGAGAAGGAGAAAGCAAGAGGGAATTCATTTGCATAGCACAACAATTGTAAATTTCAAGACTAAACATATTACAATGATAATGCATTTCAATAAAAACGGCATCACAGCGTTTCTCCAGGCTTCTTAAGGGTTTTCCCTCTTTTATAAAAAGATTGTAATTTACTCCACGATATTCATGAGGAAATTTTAATACAAAATGTGTGTTACCAAAGCACTCTTAACAATATTCTGCATCAAGATTATCTGCAATGATTATTTTCATTGCTTGAGTTTTCACAGCAATACGTTTTTGAAGGTCTCGAGTCTCTGACATACCTCCGTGTCTGTGGGCCCTGGGCTGACCTCTGGGTGGAACTGCACAGCGAAAAAGGGCTTGCTCTCATGCATAATTCCCTGCAGGAATAAGAAACAGAAAGAAATTCCTCATGTAACAACAAATGTCTGGCAGGGGATGCAGCTCAGTGGCATAGTACCTGCCTGACAAGCCTGAGGCCCTGAGTTCGATTTCCGGTACCAAACAAAAATGTCAAACATGGTCATGTGTTACTACATAAACCATGAAGTTCAAATAAAAAAAAAAACTGAGTTGAATGCTTACTAACATTTTGATAACCAACAGTACTACTAAGAAACACGATAGGAGATTCTAAGAACTAACAATGGAATTTTGGGTAAGAAACTTCAGGTAAGAATTTTGGGAAATGAACCAAGGAAGACTAAAATGAATGTGGTTCCCTATATCAACACCGAAACAAAATGGTCCACAGCTTTTGGGGCCCCTGTGGACTCTGCTCAAAATAAACCTCAATTCCATTATTTCCAGCTCCTAAATTATTTCTCCAAGTGTCTTCTCAAGAACTGCTCCTGTGCCCAGCCCCAGAACTGGGCATAAACAGATCCAGACTACGACCTTTAACAATGAATGTGCAAAGTGACTACTGATTAAGGGTGCAAATAGTGAATCAGAATGAGTCCACCGAGAGAAACAAAAATGAGGGAAATTATTTTTTGAATAGTAGAAGCCTATGGGAAAGAACATATAAAAGTTCTTCCATACCCACCCACCCAACAATTCCGCACAAACAGGAAACCGAGTGTGTCCAAGGGAGTATAAAAGGCCCTGAATTTCTCACTGTCACCAGAACAGATGCACTGAGAATGCTCACCTCATTTGTTTGATCGTTGACATTCACAAAAAGTGGTTTCCAGCCAGCAGGGAGGGCGTTGTCCAGGGCATAGCCATGATTCTGAGCGGTAATGAAGGCCTGTCTGTTTGTGATGTTTAAAACAGGTTGATTCTGCCCTCTGCAGAGGAAAGAGGAACAAGAAGAGGGAAAAGAGGAAAGAGCATACATGCATTAGTTGCAAAGTAGTGAACAAGAAAAGCCTCTTAAAACTCAAGTTTCAATTGCTTGGTGAAAATCATTTTAGGAGAAAAGTCACAGATTGTTAATCCCAATAATTTTAGCAACAAAAATCAATTCAGGAAGCTTTGTCGTGTGTTAAATATCAGTCTATTAAATTCCTATAATCGGTTTTAGAAAAGCACTCATAACTAAAAGAGTTTCTCACTAGCATAACAGAAATAGACTAATATAAGTGACTTATTTGAAGTAATTTTAAAGCCAGAGGAGAATTCTTGGGAGAAAATAAACAGACAACTGTGCAGACCTAAATTGTTTTGAATTATATTTTATATACGTGGGGGAAGGTGGGAGACACCTGACATTAAATTAACATCTTCTGAGCAAGGGAGTGAGACAAAGGTCTGAACATTTCTCAGTTCTTAAATCAATCAGCTTCTTAAAATGTTACTGAGTCCCTGGAATCGAGCTTCAAATCAGAACCACTGCCCTTGGTACACCGTTTGATTGAGTATTATAACCTCAATTTATGCCAAGGAAAACAAAGTAACCTTAAATTATAGCAAAGTTATCATTAGCGAAGGCTGACTTTCAGAAATGTTATAAAAGTGGCATCAGGTAGTCACACAAGTACGAAGCAGGTATTAGGACGGTTGTGTATGTATCCTCAAGAAATGGCACGTAAGTTTTCTAAGACTTTTGTGTTGGTAAAATACCGAAAGTATTTTAGAGCTGGTCTGACCATAAACAAGGATAACTACCTTACCTGTTGGGCATACGCATTTTGTAGGTTTTGGCACCAGCAGCTAATCCAGTTATTAGATTTCCGGTGCTGATCCCAAACAATGGCTCTTTGCGATCACTCTCCAAAACCTACATCAGAGGGGTTGTTTATTAACCTAGCACACAGTTCCAAAAGATTTCACTTCCCATTGAAAAAATAAAAATGAAGCATCCTGTTTCTTCTTTCTTAATTAACAAGGTAAGAGAAATAGCAACTGAGTTAAAAGTAACAGTCTAAGGGACATGACTGATAATTTATCACATTCAAATTCAATTAGATGTACTTGGCATTCAGACTCAACTAAATGTAATGGAACTCTCTGGAAACATAAAGGAGTTTTAGGTCTCCAGGATGTGGTGAGGAACCCAAGTCATCGTTTTGCAATTGTGAGGACAAATATGTGTGGAGATTGGAATCAGTTCTTGTAACAGGAAGACAGGATCCTAAGGAAAAGTTCTGCTTCCTCTGGAATTCTCCTAGACTTGGCTTCCCCAAAGAATAGCTATGCTGAAATTGCCATAAAAAACACAAATGAAAGTATAACAAAAATCACGAAATCAAACATGGCCTTTTCCTCCGCCACACACACACTTGCCCGCACACCCAGATTCACTGCACCTTTTTCACATTCTGAATTAGAGGCTGTGCAAGTGTGGGATCCCCGGGCCCCCCGGCAATCAGGAGTCCATCATACTCCATCTGAGTGAAGTCATAATTCCAAGGAACTAAATGCACTTCTGCTCCTCGCTGGAAAAGAAACACAAGAGAATGCTGGGTAACATTTCTTTTAGCTGAAATGTGACTCTTCTGGATGTTCTCCTCACTAAAAGAAAGGAAAATAATGTACACAATTTAAATAAAGATTGCTAAGCAAGAAGTTCTTTGGGTGGCCTATTATGTCTCATGTGACATAAATGGAGACAATGGTCCAAAAAAGTGAAGCAGAAAAGGCAATGAAGTTTTGATCTTGAAAAGACAGGCAACCCACTTTGTGCACTGCATGGACAGTTTCAGCATGTTTGCACGGTACACCAGCTATGGGACACAGTTACACACAAAGATACGTGCATTTTCTACAGAATTTAACTTAACCCACCACTCACCTTTTTCTCTTTGCCTTTTTGTCTGATTAAATTTTAATAAACTTTCTTTCCTAAGGTTTTCTCTTGTTATCTATGCTATTTATGTTCTGTGAGGAACATGGAACTTTTTGTTATAAGAGGCTATAGGAAAATATTTTTGAGGGTTTCCCCAGAGGCATGTCTGAGACAAAGATTTCGGAAAAATGTTTATGTGAAGGCTTTTCCAAGAAATGCCAACAGAAAAGGAAAGAAGTGGGACACAGTGTAAGCCCCCATGTGTAACCTGAGAAAGCCTACAGGATTTTTTCATTATCAAGCAGTCGCTACTTGTGGAGATCAAGTTCATTGGGAAATTCTGAGAACCCAAGCGAAGGGCTTAGTGACTGCCCACCGCTGAAACAAAAGACTTCTGCACCGACTCTGGTCATTGGCTGTGGGCTACGCCCAGGAAATGTGCATGCATCTCCTCACATCTAGTGGACTCCAACCAACCCAAGATATCCCTCAGGCAGGGAATGTCAGTCTGTGACTAGAAAATACATGACATGAATTAAAATGGTAAGATGAGATTGGAACATGGGTGGGCCAACCTCAGGATCCACTACAGAAATCAAACTCCATGCAAATTTTGTTAATAAGACAGACAAGAATTTGCAGCCATCATGAAGATATGACTGATACTCTCTAACAATGAGAAGGTAGATTGAAGAATCCCTCTATACACTGGCTAATATGGTGTTTAACTCATGTGTGTGTATATGATGCTGAAGACCTAAACCAAGGCCTTGCACGTATTTAACAAGTTCTCTACTGTTGATCTGTGCTACCAACACTAACACCTTGGTGCTATAAACGTCTATATATGTCTTAGAAAGACAGAGACAGAAATGGGAAGCCTTGAATCTACAAAGAGACAGACACAGGAAACCAGAAGTGGAAGGAGAAAAAGGAAAAATTCCAAGAAAATAATATTTAAGAAAAAATTATTATAGTGGTTAAATTCTGCTTATAATTTTTGAAGTTTAATTTTATTTGGTTGTCTGGAAGTTGGCATTAAAGTAATCTGCAATTTTTTACTATATCAGAATGTAAAACCTGCAAACTAGTGGTATAGAATAAATATAGGTCAATGGGGGAACTACAAGACAACTCTAGTTTTGGTCATCTTTAAACCTTAGTAAAAGTGAAGATGGCATGTCTCAAAATGTTAATAAATGGTAAGAACAGTCATCAGATTTCTCCCATGTTTTGGTGTTCCTTTGGGTTGTTATTTTTCTTAAATATACATCTTTACATACGTCTACATCTTTCATTTGAACAGTTAAATGTGTTGCTTCCTAGATCAAATGCACCAAGGAGAGATGTTTTGAAAGAATTCAGTAGTTTCCTCTGAAACAGAGAAAATCAGCTGAATACTCACAGCCAATATTACCCCTGCTCCTGACATGGAACAGATTGCTTACCTTTACTAGTAGGCGGATGACATTGTTTTTTATCCCGCAGTCTACAGCTACCACTTTCGTGGGGTTCCCTTTGCCGTATACCTTCACCTCCTGCATTTGAAAAGTCGGAAAGTGAGACAGAATTCCCCATTACAAGCCATAGATCTGTGTTACACATGCAACTGAAGATGCTTTGCACTTACATTGGCTAAAATATTGATTGTTGGTTACTTGAGAGTAAGTAGGAGTTGACTAAATTTGCAAGAAAGGCACAAGTGCCATGGACTACATTTTTATGAGAAAGATGTATTTTACTCTTCTACATTCCCTTGATTATAGTAATAACAAAGGTTCCTAACCAAGTGGTTGCTTCCATAGCTAACAGCCAGCTTTTCCATGTTTTGCTTCATTAACGATGGGATTTACTGTTGCCTCGTCTTGGCACTCGACAGATGTGGTAATAGACACATTGTGTTTTAAACACCACTTGATCCTCAAATGGCGATAAAGATCAGATGGGGTAGAGCTGAAGCATTAGACTCGTGCAGTGAGGCTAAATGGATAAAATCAGTATGGGAACCAGAGGAATTGCTAAGCTTGTGTAGGTCTCTGGCCCCTTTAGGTTACAGTGCAATCATTTGCATTTAAACGATAGATTTCATAAAAGGATTGCAGGACATGTCATAATCGTTATCTATGCCTGAAGCTCTGCTCAGAGGCAGATCAATGTTCACAGGTACTTCTGCAAGGCGCGGCTCTGAAAGCCATGAAAGAAATAGAAATAGAGAAAGAATAGAAATAGAAGAAAAACTGAAAGAGTGGGTGGTCGCACTCTTTCTGGTTCAAGGGTCAGGGAGCACATTGCATTTAGGATGATTTTATAGTTTATGAAAGCTTTTCTACTAAAGGTACAACCTGAATGTTTAAAAGAGTATTTTACTTTAACCGAAATATCTGGCTCTCCACCAAGTCTATATAGAATGTGACATCAGAGTCCTCATACTTAATATAAAAAGAATGCATCAGTATCATTTTCCTCCTGCTGACTACTTTGGAGAAAAATATCCCTAGTCTTGCAGTAATGTTGCGAATTATTGTTCAATTGATCCATGAATGTTACAGGTAATCTTCCTCATCAGATAATTGGAAAAATATAGATCCATTCTCAACCTTAGACTTCTGCTACAAAGTAAAGCAATGTTACCATCTAGTTGTAGCTACATCAAATTGCAATTCAAGATAATGAATAAGTTATCAGCATTCCCAAGGCACACAATCAAATAGAAGCTACAAGTTATATGTAATCCCTAACTGAAATGCACCTTTTTATTTTAGCTATAATAAAATTGTTTACAATTACTTAATTGCAGTGCTTTAAGAAACAGCCAGTTATTACCACTGAACTTGATCCAAAATAGTTAAAAATGTAGTTAAGCTTGTTTTTGCTCATCTTTACACAAATATATCACAGTTGTCTCTCAGCATGAGAGACTGCTTTAGGGTTTGTCATGTACCAAACTCCAGAGATGTTCAAACCTCTTAGATAAAATGGTGTCGTATTTGCCAAGAAAGTATGTAAATCCCCCAGCATCCTTCCAGTCCTAGATTACTTCCAATATGTAATAGGATATAAATGCTATAGGGTTAATAGTTATTACACTGTATTATTTAGGGAATAATAACAACTAAAACATACATGTTTGGTAGAGAGAGGATTTTGGTTTGTCTTTTGGTCTGAAATTTTTAGTATTTTTGATCATGGTTGATTGAATTTACAGATGTAGACCTTGCAGATACAAAGGGGACACTGTACATACTTGCCATGAAGAAAGACAACACCTCACAAACACAAAGGCATAAATTGGCCTTAGGGCTATCCAGGAAAGGAATCTATCACACAGTTTTTCAATGTTGCTCATCTACAGAATTTTTAAGGTACATTTCTCCAGGTCAGGGTTCCTCACTTTTGGAAAATGCCACATGAACCTTCCAGTTACTTGCATGTCTGCCCAACCCACTTCTGCTTTGCTCCAGTGTGATAGATACTAAATGATCTCTGTACAACTTCCAATATTGCTGGCCAGTCAGTGACATGATTCATGATTAGTCCATCTCCATTTATCACAGCCAAATCCATGAACCTGTATGCGTGAGCCATTAAGTCCAGCCTAATCAAATTACCCATAACTTTTTAACCAAACTTGTTGCTTCATATCTGTGGCTCACACACATGACATTCTTTCTGCCTCAAACGTAGTTCTAATCCTCCCGTTATGTAACTATAAGAGTCCCGTGTCTCCTACTAAGACTACCACTTCCACAGCACCTTCTTGAATGCACCTGCTGCATGATGGTGCCATCTGTGCGTGCCCCATGGCACCCAGGGCACATCAAAGGACAGTATTTATCATTGAATTCTGAATGTGGTAACTTACTTGCTTGGTTGTCCCACCAGATTATTATGCTTCTCAAGGACAAATCATGGTAGCTCAAGAATCCCACTCATACCTGCACTAATATTCAATCAAGCCAACAACACATCTTTCTAAAATGTACTCTATGCCTTCTTGTAAATATATGCTAAACATATATCAATTTGGGGTGGCACAATAGTCATCACAAACATTAATTTTTGAAGTCAGTCATAATGCAGTAAGTCATTAATGGGAAGAAATACTTTCCCTGCATAAAATGACCCAAGGCTGATTATTGTGTCTGATCTTTATGGCAATCCATTGGCTCTCTGGCAGGATATTAGCCCTTATTTCTTTGGCAATTCAGTGCTCCTTTTATTTGATATTACTGAGGCCTTAACCTAAAGAATAAGAAAAGGATCTAGAGGACTAAACAATAACAGGCAACCTCTAAATCAGAAGGTTTCCATGTAAACCTGTAAGTAAAGCTTATTAACTTTGAATGCATTGGTTTTGCAATGTAGATTTTAGGTACTATCAGATCCTTTTGCACCTCAACTCTGATGCTTCCAGAAAATAACTTAGGCCTGATAAAAATGTTGATATTATGGAAAAAGTAAGTCTAAAGTGAATGAGACAAAAACTACAAAATATGAAGGAAAATCTCTCACCTTGGTTGAAACTTCAGCAATCAAATTCTGCTTATTTGGATCCATAAAATATACAGGTTGACCTTCAAATTCAATCTTCCCAAGCATGGTACCCTATCAAATTAAAAAATAATAGGCAGATAAAAGGAGGCAATGAGGAAGGTGCTGACAAGATAATCTCACAGGGACTTTAAACAGCTGCTCCAAGATTTAGATGCCTTTATAAATAGCCATCACTATCATCAGATCTTCATCTTCTCCAACTGGAAAATGAAGTAATTTGCACATACACTTCAGAAAATACTCTAGGAAATATAATGAGTTCTTTTGGGGCAGAGGCCATGGACCAATATAGGCAAAGCTGAAAGGTATCAAAATTCAGGTCACCAAGTCCCATGCTGGTACACACTGGAATACTTAGTGTACCTTTGACTTCATGGTACCTAGGACCTAAAGATGTGTCATAGGAGATGGCTACAAAATAATCCACTTGGAAGCGAATATAAAATATAAAAACAGTGAAAACTGAAAAGAATGAAAACCTACTACACACTTTTATAATAACATTAGTTCACAAAAAAAGGTACAATGCAAAATGTCACAAGTGTCTAGGATTTTCAGTAAAAATATGCACTGTTTTAGACACGTTAATATCCCAGATGTTCCCAAGAGCTTGAACTTTAAAGCATGTTCAATGCTCGGCGAAGTTTTTACAATGAGTTCATTTTCCTTTTATACTTATTCTTTGGAGAAATCACTCAATGATTGCGAGTAGAAGAGGCCAGCATGCCATGGAAATGGGGTGGTTATTTTAGTGCTAAGAGTAAAAGTCTGGAACAAGTAACCAAAACCTCCTTTACCTTCATACCACAATTCTAAATTTCATGATGGTCTATGCACACTTTTTTAAAAACCAAGTCACAGAATCTCTTGACTATATTTATGATCCTTAATATTGATATTTGTTTCTCCCCTTTTTTTAAAGTATGCTGAATTAAATATAATCTTACTTTTCAACCTACTATTGCTAGAAGTAAAATCTATAATATATATATTTTTGTTATGAACTATCAATATTTATAAACAAATAAAATAGGCAGTACTACTATTTGATCTGTGCTAATCTATCCTGGAAAATTTTTAAATACCAAACCACCTACAATAAGAGAAGACTTTAGTTTAACTAACATTACACAGAAGATTCAGGATAGACTTGGAAAAAGTTTTCCTAATCCCCCAGGTCAGGGTGTATTCTATTTAACTTGTGATTAACTAGCAATTTGCTTTGAACTTGTCCTTATTTGCTGCTTCCACATACTATTAGGCTAAGAAAACTACTTGGAATCTACTTGGAATGTATAACTTCACCTGGACATTATGGAGAATTTAGTAAAATCAGGAGTAAAATAGAACAATCATTTGAACTCTATCATCCTTCTGATCATAGAGAGGCAGACATATTGTTCTGTTCAAAGCCTGTTCTTTCTTTCTGTTTACAAAGACTTTATGGCAATAGACAGTTGCTTTTGGTATCTAAGGGAATCTGGCTCCTGGGCCCTCCTGAAATATCAAAATCTGAGGATGTTTCCATCCCTCATATATAAGGCATAGTATCTGCCTATGACCTTCACAAATCTTCCTCTTTAAATTGCCTCTAGATTACTTATAATACTTAAAACTATAAGTACTATGTAAATAGCTCTAACTGTGTCATTTAGTAATAAAACAAATCTCTCTAGGTTTATATGGACATAATTTTTTCCAAAATTTTGGTTGCTCCTGTCAGCGTGGAACCCACCAACACAGAGGACTAGCTCTGTGTTCTAACAAGGAATCCACGATGGATTTTCCTGAAAAATCTGTGTCACGTTTGTACTTTCAAATTTTATCATTAGTTTTTTATGTAATAACATTCCATGAGGAAGCTTGGGCTGCATTTGACAAATTTAGTTAATATTGGTGAGGGAATGTTTCTTTCCAATTCAGAATATAAAGACATCATATGGGGGGGGAGCAGTGTCAACTTCTAGCAAGAAGCAAGCAGATGGCAATGAGAAATTCTCAAAGGAGAGGTCAGATGTTGCAGCAATCAGATAAAAAAAAAAGATAACCTTTCTTTTTGCCACCTTAGTCGTTAATATAGTCTGAATAAAGATTCTATAATTGAGATAATGCATGCAAGGCTCACTTGGCCCGGCAGTGAAATATAACACACTAATTTGTGGGTAATTCTTCCCAGAAAACTAAATAATTAACAGTAACAGTGCTGCACACTTTCTAATTTGCATTCTTCAGCAGGCAGATTTTCAGTCTAGGTAAAATTGCCACGCACGTGGTTACCTTCTCCACTTATTTTACTAAAGTCCTGTCACCTGAGCTGAATTATGAGTGTCCCGACTCGGTGTAATGGACACCTATTGGGCACTCAATAAACTCCTTCCTGGTGAATTAATTGCCATTCTATGGAGTTACACACATACCAATCAAGTATTCCGTCTTGAGAGTGACACTAGAAAGAATAAAGAAAAGTGACAGAGACCAAAGAGAAGCAGCTGGCAGGATTTGCTCTTTTACACGTTAATGGGTCCCTCAGGAACTGAAGCAAAAGTGTGTGAAGAAATGTCGATTTGGCTAAAGAGGATGATCACACCTTATCCCGAATTATCTTCGTCAGCATTCTTGTATCCACGCCATAAATTGCAGGAACCTATAAGAAAAAAAAAAAGTCATTGTGACAGTGAAATTGGAGAAAATTAGATACAGCATATTGTTTTCAAGTTACAAACTTGGCCTCATCTATCTTCTTGACCTGTAAATAATTTCCCCAGTCCTTCTTTTCTTTGACCCAGGGTGACTGCATTGTCAGAATACAGTAAATTGCTACTCCAGTAGGGCACAGGACTCTTAATACCCGGGCCCTTCCCTGGAATAAAAAATGAGATAGTCAGAAGATCAATCTGGTGCAATTTTCTTGCTTTTAACCTAGGATGTTAAATAAATAATGGTGCATATATATGTATATATTTCTTTTGAAACAATAGAACATATACTTCTGTACATGCATAGTATTTGAAACACATATATAATTTTGTGTATATGTTGTATGTACAAAATATGTATTTTGAAATAACAGTCAGTGCATTTCATAAGCAGTAATTTACGAATCTATGTACTGAGTCAAACACTCCTGGCACACAATAGGTGCGCGGTACATTTTTTTCCCAAAGAGCTCTGTCAAGTAGCCATGTCGTTCTAACACCTGTCCACCCTGTTATTATACCAGGCAACACCACCATCGGGACTCAGGAGCACAAGTGTTAGTTGAGATCTTGGCCTTTTTAGTCTCTGTGTCTGTAATTAAAACTCCATTGAAAAAACAAACTAACAAGCCAAGGGTTACGCTCACATTATAACCATTTCTTCTGATGACCATTATGGAAATTAGCTGTCTAGGTCATGGAAATAAACCAGACAATGGCTGAGAAGAAAGTAGTCATGGCAGACACGTGATATAGATGACTTCTTCCTCTTTTATTTGAAAAAAAAATGAAACTTCCTAGAGCAAGAGTTTTCTTGTTGCAAAAGAGCTAACACTTAGCCCCACTGAGCAGACACCCACTGGAAAGGTAGCACTTTCTTGTAACCCTATTCTATCAATCGAGAATCCTGCAGAAGCTGAACAAAAAACAGCTACAGTACCGCTGAATAGAAGCTAGTTCATTAACAATAAGTACTTCCAATTACCAGACCAGGTGAAGCCTCTTATTTGATTAGAAGTTAATAACTTAAGTATGGAAAGTGTAACACAAGGTTTTATAATCTTTTTCCTGTATCACTTAAAAGGCTGCTCTCTAATTATGAAGTGTTGTATGGAATGATTACATGACCTGCACAGTAAGACAACTAGCACTAGCAACCAGGAAGCCAGTTCCATCCGTCTTTCCTGGACAAAAGGGCCCAGGGAGGACTTAGGTTGCTCATGAGAATAGAAAAATAAAATGTTCCCTACCCCATTACCAAATAAGAACTGCAACCAAGCGTGTTGAGTGCCACCTCGTGGATAAACTGAAAATATGCGGCTCTCTGTGTTTCAAGGGGGAAGAGAGTCTGGACCGTTTGGCCTGTTACAGCCAAAAAAAGATTGCCACAAATAAAAAGACTCCAAGCTTGTCAAACTTTCTCGTCTCTGTAGCCTTTTGAATCTCCACCTGCCTTTCCAGCTTCGTGCAGACCTGCCAGCTCGCCCTAGGTGACCCTGGGCACCCTGCTAGTTTGCTCACCTTTTCTTCCTTTAGCCACTGTCCCAAGCTTTTGGTGGCCAGCCAGTGGTTGTAGTCGTTACTGTAATTCAGCACCAGCAAACCTGCAACCTGGAGAGACAGGCAGTTGTTCATCAGTCACGGAAAGCCATCCCTCTCCTGGGACTCACTTTGAAGGTCAATTTGCATTTAAAAGAAATACTTTCTTATATCCCCTAACATGGGACAGAAAAGTTTGAAGCTTTGAAAAACGAATGGTTATCGATGCTTTTATTTTTAAATATGCAACAGTTTCCTTTCTCTGTGGCGGCACAGGTTTACCTGGATGGCTGAATCCTGAGATTAAGCCAGTCTGCTTTCCTGGCATTCTGTACTTTCCCCCTATTTCATTTATCAGTAAGTTGATTGATAATTATTTGTTTAATAAAAAGAAAGAATAAAATAATTTTCTTAATGTACAGATAAAGTAAACTGAGACATTTGGGGAAAACTGTGAGAAACAGTGAGAGTTAACTAAATGATGGTCCAAGTCGCTCCAAAATATAGTGGTGAAAATGACCAACCTGAATATAAAGTTTTGAATTACTTACAGGATTTATATTCCCAAAATATTACCCAAATTTCTTTGACTGGAAAATCGTAATGTAGTTACTTTTACTCTGGCATATGAACTATTTAGACCCTCAAAAAAAGACAAGATTAGATAGCAAATAACTATGGAGAGTTAATTATTAAACCATTTCTAAAATTTGTGTTGCTTAGCTATTATTTGAACTTTTAATAACATTTTCCAAATTGTTAAGATGAAATTAAAATCTAAAATATCCTGAGAAGTGAAGCTCAAAATAATCTCAAGTTAAAGATTATTCTTATATACTTATAAATAAGGTAAAATATAAGAATGCTTCAAATTGAGGATATTTAAATAATCATCCCTGGTGTTACCTTAATTCCATCAGACTCCAAATATTTGCTAAGTCCCAGCTCATCCAGGGCAGAAGTGTCCGGTACCCCGCCATTCCCAATAATAGGGTTGGCCATGGTGAGAATCTGTCCTTTGTAGGCAGGATCCGTAAGAGCTTCCGGGTACCTGGGCAAATACGCCAAGACATGAACACCAACCAAAAATAGAATATGACTGCGAAACTGAAATCTGTACACAAACTCTGAATCTCTTGAAAATTAGAGAAGATGAAAATCTCATGAGGCTGCTTCTAGATTCCAGCAAATCTAGGTAATTTTTATGTCAAACTATCGAAATTTACCCATGAGGGCTGGGGATTTAGCTCAGCGGCATAAGCGCCTTCCTTGTAAGTGTGCAGTCATGAGTTTGATCTCTGGTACCGATAAAAACGAAAAAGACAAAAAAAAAAAAAAAAAAAAAAAAGCAAAAGCAAAATTTACCTATACTACAACTAACACAGAAACACAAAAAGAAACACTTAATTGTACCTACTAAGGCATATTCTCATGCAATTGTAATTTCTTTGGTTTTTTGAAAAATGCTTTGATTCTCTTAAAATTCTTTTACAGTACTTTAACTTTTAAAAACTTTGTTCCTGTAACATTTGCAAATGTTGTGATGATTCAAACTCATATTTACTGTTGACAGCTGCCAGTTTCACCAAGACATTAACTAAAAATTGAAAAGTATTTTTCAGTATCTTTTTTAAGGTACCGACAACCATCCTGATTATGTCAGTGATAGTTGTATGGGGCATATATTTAGCAAAACTCAGTAAATATTTAAAATAAATGAGTTCATAATCTCAGAAAAAAGTATACAAGTGTGGGAATTATCATCAATTTAGAAATACATCAATCTCATAACACTTGACCTGAAGCATTTGTGATCTTTAAATTAATAGATTTTGAATATCTCTTTTAAAGTTTGATAAGTAATTAGGACAAATGCAGAAAGAATTCTAAAGTTGAGGAAATTACAGTTGCACCTATTCCACACTCTGGGAAACTTTGCAACTGAGTTTTTCTTCCTTCTTACGTTCTGAGTTCCGACGAACTGAGTTAAGACAAATATTTCTTGTGGATTACACTGAAAGTGAATTTAGGTGTCAAAGGGGACAGAATCAACAACCTCAAAACCAATAAAATTCAGGAAGTCATCAACATAAATTCCTCAAACCCATCCAAGCCGGCTCCTTGCAGAACTAACTTGGTCAACAGAGCACTCAGTCTTGCAGCTCTGAAAATGCCTAGGGTGACTCCAGCACCGTGGGATTTATCCACCACCTCCATCTTCTAATTTCTCAGATGCCTCTCACCTGTCTGGAACTGAGAATTTCTAAAGGCGGCTTCCACACAATATAAATGCACTTCTTGAAGATGAAAAAAAACTAATCTGCCTAATTATCAAGCACTGATTGAGTGATTCATGTAATGGACAAAAAGCTGTGTTTCTCAATGGAAAACATCCTGTGTAATAATCGTACAAATGAATGGCTTTTTCTGCATCAAAAGAAATCTTTAATTAATTTGATTTTCCTGACTTTCCTTCCTTCTTCCCAGAAAAGAACTGGTCATTGCCTTTAAGCCTGGGCTCACAGCACCCTTCAGTAAGTGAATAAATGCAGCTTCTCCCAGAGAACCGCAGTGTAGGAAGCAAATTAATCCATCAGGTCCTGTTTGACTTTTGTGATGTGACAAGATTTATTACCCGTAATCTATCATTGAGAAGAAAACTCCAGTGCCCTCCATCATCCTGATCTATATTAAACAGTTGTTTGTTGGCAGGTATATTAACACAGCTAGTAATTAGTGCTGTCGAAAAGCCTAAATAATGGCTTGGTGAAGCAAAACTTTGCAAACAGGTTTCATACACAGTAATTTAATGTTCTCAGTAGTAGAACTGGTTGAAAAACCACCTCATACCCTTCACACTAAGAGGCAAGAGTTTGGAAAAGAATATACATTAATAGCAGTGGCTGCTGGGTTGATCAGTATCTTCTAGTTAACCCAATACCCTCCTTGCTTTCACAAGGCTAATCTGAATTTCCCTGATGAATTTGTGAAATTTATCCTAGGTTATTTTATGGGATGTCTAACAGAGGCCCTTTGAAAAAAAAATCTATTCATTTCCATAAGACTCATATTGTTTTAAATTCCCAGCTATAAAGCATTATCTAATCCAGCCTCCTTATCCTTTAAAGAAAACAAAGCTCAGAAAGATTAATTGATGTTCTCAATAACACATAATCAGTTATCATTAGAATTTAGACCAGACTAGGCATAGTGGTGCACGTATATAATCCCTGCTCCTCAGGATTGCCCGTCTGGACAACTTAGCAAAACACTGTCTCAAAACTAAACGAAAAAAAAAAAAAAAAAAAAAAAAACAGAACAGCACAAAAGGTGGGCCTTGGATTCTAAAAGCAAAAAACAAAAACTGAAGCCAGAACTTCACCTTCTCGGCAACATTCACCGAGTAGGTAGCACTAGCCGCATGATTTCTGCAGCAACCCTTGTCTTCGTTACCACACTTCACTCAGTAGATCTTAAATACTAAGTTGAATCATGATCAATAATCATTCAAAATGTTAGATCTACGTACTAACCTTCTCTCTCTGATTATTTTTAAGGCAGCAAGCATATCTGATGGTTCCTCTTTCTTTTTAGAATGCAAAATTATATAAAATACTAAAGCATTTTCTTATCCCCTTATCAGGTTGTATTTCATACTGCTGCACAGACTTGCTTCTCAGCTTTGCCGGTGGAATGGCACTGGCGTGTGCTATGCAATCTTTTCCCTGTTCCGATGTTCAGATCCCTATCTCCTCTTCCAGAGGTGGTGGTAATCCCACTTCACCCGTGCCTCCACAACGTAAGTTTCTAGGATGAATTCTGTTCTTTCTTTTTAGGGGCCACAGGAGGTCCCAGGTCCTCATTAGTTGCATTGGCAGGACCCTCACATCAAAGCCTCTGTTCCAGGGTGGCTGTGGTAGGCGTCACCCACTGGGGAATCTGTGGTCTGATGATACAGCGATTTTGTGTTCCCTCTGGAGTAAGATCAGCCTATTTCCCCTCAACAGAGTGAAAGAATAAAGCCTCACAAGAGATGGGTTACTCACCCTCCCAGGCCAGTGTTAAAAACCACTTCACCAGCAACTGAGGATGGATGGCCAAAGGAGTAGCCTTTCATCTTAGTTCCATCTTCGAGGACAATGTGTGCTGTCTGTGCCTAAAACAACAGTTGGATGAATCTTAGTGGGATACAAGCCACCGCGCACATACACACACACACACACACACACACACACACACACACACACACGGTCCAAAGATAAAACACCCAAGCATCTTAAATAAATACACAATATATATAATAAAATCATATTCCCCAGACTCGGGATTGTTCTTTGGCTTCTTGTCACTTTTCTTCCACGAGCTCTTGTCACCTGACAGGTTTTTGTTTTGCTTGAAAGAGGAACTGAAGCATGTCCACACATTGCCTATTCTAAGTCTTCTTGTAGAGTTGTTGACAAGCCAGAAAGGTTTCAATTTAGCTGAAATGCTGTGGTCTATCTTTTCCTCCTTAGTATTCCCTAGCTTCACTCCCGTATAGCTTGCAGGGAAGTTCATGAGTTTGCAAAAGCATTGTGAGTCATACCACACAGCTCGTCCTCACTCTGATGTTTAGAGCCGGGAGAAATCTTCAAGATTATCTGTCACACAGAGCGCCACAAAGCTCTCGCGTTTGATGGAGTTGTCCGGGGGCTTCCCTGTGCACAGCAGCATTGCACTTGTGAAGAAGCCGAAGCTTTTTCACTCTTAGTATTGATACTACAGTGAGCATTGTGGAGCACACTAAACGCATACCATTATTTTGCTTTTCATTATCGTTAATTACATCCATGTCTAGCTCCCTCTTTAGACCAGGGGCGTTCTGAATTTGATTACTTTGCCAAGTTAATCTTTGAATCAGACTCTATAAAATTCTTGCTAGAGAAAAGGGACAATTAGAGAAACATATCTAAAAAGCAGATTTTATCCTCTCCTTATAAATACTCTAAACTCTCCTAGTAAAATACTTTGCATCCAACTCTCAATGTTTATAAACTTCAAGGGAGAGAAAAACATCTTAAACCGCGCCTGCAAGGTAAGACCTAGGCTTCAGAAGAGTCTATAGGACAAACTAATTTAAGCCAGGCTTTTAAAAACAAACTGCCAAGAAAAACATCCTGTAACAATTGAGGAAATTTTAATAATTGATGCTTAATTATATCAGATAAAAAATTTTTGGATTCATGTTAATACTGTACTTTTATTTTTAGGAGTCCTTGTCATTATCAAACTTACAAACCAGAATATTAAAGCACAAAACAATTTGACATCTGTGATTTACTTCAAGTAACCTGGAGCTAGTGAGATGGGTACAAATATAGATGAAACTAGTTTGGCCATGAGTGGAACTGTTCAAAGGAATGAAGATCCTGAGATCCTGAGAGGTGACATGCTTCTGAAAGGGTGAATGAAGCCATTGGAGACAGAATATCTCTCGTCCCTGAACGGCTCAGGGAAGGGAGATAGAGATTCCCTGATTGTTATAAGCCAGAGCCACTGTGTCTAATTCCACTGCGTTTTGCTATCCCATCCCCACCCTTACCACATACATGCTCACCAACTTTGTGAGACCACAGTACTCAGTGAATGACTTCTAGGCTCTTTCGTGATATTACCTGTCTTTGTCATGGACACTCAGATTTTCAAGTATTAAAGTGAAAAAAAGCCCTTTGTTTTTCTATAATAATCTTCACCACAAAAATAAGATACTTCTTTGGGAGCTAAAGTGCCCAAGCCACTGGCCATTAGAATGATTAATCTTCAAAGTAAAAGTAGGATTTTGATTATCATCAGTATGCTATGCTCTTACATCTTAAGTGTGTGCACCTAGTATTACATTGACTCACAAAATTATTTTACTGTTTCCTATTAAACTTGATAGAATATATTATCACATTCCTCTGAACATGTAATATTACTAGTTTTCTTTTAAATCAGAAATTTAACATGTGAATTTCAAGTTTGTATTTCTGAGGAAAACAAAAAAGTTCTGTACATCTTATATATACTTGTGTGTATGAGCATGTGTGTGTATGTATGTGCTGTTTGTATGTGTATATGGTGTGTATGTGTGTGTTTGTGTGTGTTCATGGGCAGGGTTTACCAAAATAATTTGGACTTATCTATAGTTATCTATAGTTAAAATAGTTTTATCCCCAGCCTTGGAACCAGTGTTTGAAATGCAAGCTTGACACTATCTTTCAAAAGTTATGGTTTATCTTCACAGTCACTACATTAAAAAAAAAAGATTTTGGAATTACTCAGCACAAAGGAAAGCAGAGTAATTAATTTAATGTGAGAGGTGACAAGACTTCTCAGGCATAGATTGGCTTATCACGCATGTCTGAGTTCTGCATGTCTGAGTTCTGCTTATGTGCCTAGAAAAGCTACTATGCATGTCACATTTAATAACATGTTCCAATTCTATATTTTACTTTGATTTGGCAATTTCTATCTAATTATAATTCAAGATAGAGGTTATTTTCGGATGTAAGAGTGATAGTGTTTGATGAATTTCTGAAGATTGTTATAAGCTATCTTGTGAAGATGATTCTCAATAAGAGTGTATCTACTGACAAAAAGAAAATCTCCAGGTAACTCTGACACATATCACTAGATGAAACCTTTAGTCCAAGCAATGAAAATTCACTCTCAAAACAAGTATTTTCCACTAGAAAGATTATTTTCTACTCCTGAGGAATTTTTGTGTAACTGAAATGGTTTCACAAAATGAAAGAAAAACATTTTATTAAACAATATTGTTTAAGAAATAATTTTATGGAATGTAAAATATAAGAAATATAATTTCATGGAATGTAAAATAACTATACTTAGCAAACTTAAAAGTAAATTGCAAATTTCAATTATTTTCTCTATGCCAATTTATCTGTTCTCCCCTGCTGCATGCCTAAAATATCATCTTTGTTTATATTTTCTTTTTCTTTCCTCTATCCTCTTCTCATCTAAGAATTTCAAATTATTGGGTCTTCGGTTAAGAGCCTATTTAAATATTTTAAAGAAAGGTAAAAATTAACATAAGCAAATCCGACTTTTGTTAGCCTGCTCCTAAAATTCTATTTGGTATTTTTCTTTTCTCTCCTTGGGACTAGTTTTCTACTTTGATTTCCTTTTTCTAAAGATATATTTGAGCAGACATTTACTACAGCCTGAAATAGTCCCTGAGATTGTGTTCAATATGTCTTTTGCTGCTTTAATTATATTTTTTGTTCTTTTTGGAGGTTTTTATAGATCTTCCAATTCTCTTTCTCACCACACATTATATTGTTACAAGGCTTCTGTTTATTGCCTACAGTACCTTTTATATTCTTCCTAACTACTCTGGTCTCCGATGAGTTTAAAATGGTGAGCACCAATTGACTTATCTATGAATTGATAGAGGCACTCTGAACAAAGAGACATTATTTAGAATTCCCCTTTTCTAGCTAAAAGTTCCCCAAATGCTATTTCACCCCAGTAAGTCCAGAAGAAATCACCTTATTACCACCGTAAGATATTTTAATACCCTTGGTCCTAGTAGACAAAGGTTCATAGCCCAGGGATTAGATTGTAATATTAAATTATAATGTAAGTGCCTACTGTGAGAGCCCTTTGGTATGCTGAAAGCTGAATGTGCAAAGGAAACCTTGATGAAGGGAAATAGGATTTTACGAGTTTTGCAAACCAAAGAGGCTTATAGTCACATGGCTCTGATGTGTCTACATTGCTAATATGACATTGTAAACATTCAACTCACAGATATTCTTGAGCTTCTGCCATGTGTGAAAAAACTGGTGATAAATGGATGAATTTCCTAAGTACCCACATTTACTAAAACGCTAAATATGAACAGGGCTTATGAAATAGATGAAACCTGAAAAAGAATGTAACTAAAATACCTGGAAATACAAAGACAAATATCATCCTTTCCTTTGGGGATTTTATCTTTTTAGTCAACGCTTGGGATAACAAAAAATAAAATTTTTGATAAAGAAACTTGTCAGATTTCCAATTTAAAGTCTACAGTTTAAGGATTCTTCCAAGTCTTTGCTTAAATCTCGTTTTCTTGGCAAGGTCTACTTTGACAGCTTCTGTTCAGAATTACCGTATGCCCTCCACTCCAGTAACCTGCCTGCTTTTCTTCGTGATATAGTAGTTTAGTTCCATTAATATGACTAGAGCAGCCTAACAATAGGGTCAGATAGAAAACTAACTCAAGCAGCTGGGTAAGCAAGAGTAGAAAGGAAAGATACAAAGTTAGCGTAACAACAGAAAGCAAAGGACTCTTCTTTCCCAGAAGACTCCTGGCCTGCATACCCCAAGTTAGTTAACACCTCTCACCACGCCACCCTGCCTTTGGACCCAATTTCAACTAGACCTTGGACATCCACTAGACCTCAGCCCTCGAGAAATGTTAGAAAAAGCAGTAAACAGTGAAATCGAAGTCTCTTTTGAACTCTTAAAAGTTCTTTCTTTTTAAACAAACACCTGCCTGCGCTTTGCCTATTCCTATAAGACAGGCAAGGACCACAGTTTGGATTTCTGTTCCGAAAACCTTCATGATACACAAGGTATCACAACCAATCAGACTGGCTCAGTTCCTCCTTTTGCTTTGTGACTTCGTTCTTGGTCTTCATGCAACCATGAGCTCAGTTTGTACAGAATTAACAGTTTCAATCATACTTCCTAACACAGCATCCACTGCCTTATTTATTATCTGATTTATTTCACTAGAAAATGAACTTCATGTGGGCAAAGTATGCACTGTTTTGTTCGCTAATGTGCTTCCAGCTTACATCAGCATCCGGGACATAGTAAGCAATGAATAAGCTTTGTTCACATGTTAATGAAATGAAATCGACTAGATAATCTGGTTTTTTGAAGAATACTTCTAAATGACTAAAGAATTTAATCAGAAAGCAAAATTCAGAGGAAAAAAAAGAAAGGCAAATGCTCTCCTACCTTAAACGCCTCCTCCCCATTATTTCTTTTAGTTTATTAGAAGTCTATTGTTTGTATTATCTTTGATAGAAATTACAGTTTTTGTGGGCTTGGGGGTTTGTTTGTTTGTTTGTTGGTACTGAGGATCGAACTCATGACCTTGTACTTGCTAGGCAAGTG